ACGGGCTGCAAATTTACTTCCCGAGGAACAAATGGGCTGAAATCATCGAAATGCTCAAAAGTGAGCCCAAGAGAAAATGACCTCAAAGATGGGCCAATTACTGCCAACTCGGCAGCTCGAACAGCCCCCCGCAGCTCGCCCTGTGTGTCCAGGCCTCTCAGCCTCCCCACACGCCCTCCCTGTCCCTCCGCCCCTCTGTCTCTCCGTCCCTCCGCCCCTCTGTCCCTCCATCCCTCTGTCCCTCCGCCCCTCTGTCTCTCCGTCCCTCTGTCCCTCCGCCCCTCTGTCCCTCCGCCCTCTGTCCCTCCGTCCCTCTGTCCCTCCGCCCCCTGAACCCCATCACCCCTGGCCCCTCCCCGGCCATCTTACCCCCGAGCTGCCGGACCAGAGTCTGGACCGTGCAGGGCGCGGTTCCCGGTTCCCGGTTCCCGGTTCCCGAGGCTTCGGGACAGCTTCGGCGGCTTCCCAGTCCACACCGGCACCGGTGGTACCGTTGTCAATGAATAAACAGAGGCACCGAGGACAGGCAGCCTCCACGGTGACCAGGGCGTGCGTGGGGCCCTGGTGGACAGGCCCAGGCTCCGCCCGTCTGCCACGCATGATGTTCCTGGCGCTGGTCAGCCCCCAGCACAGGGGTCTTTGTTGGCCTGGGAGGGAGGGAGGAGATCAATGTTTTGGGGTGCAGTGGGCCTAGGGGTGCTGCGACCACACCATCATTCCTTTCATGGGGGAGGTGGGAGGTGGGAGGTGGGAGAGGCCTGGCCTACGCCCCTCAACCTCAGATCTCCCTCCTTTAACATGGAGGCCGGGGCTGGGTGGCCGATCTGCCCCCCGCCCGTCTCGGGCCTGCGTTCTGTTCCGTGTGCTAGGGGGCTCCCTGAACCCAGCCCCTCACCCTCCTGGCTCTGTCTCCCCAGCAGAGCCCACGGGGGAATAAAAGCCAAAGGAACAAAAAATGGCTCACTGGTGGGGGCAGGAACGGCCCGCACAGACAGGCCGGGCGGCTGGAGCGCGAGGGGCCTGGAGAGGGGTCCCC